TGTAGTGATTGACCTCTGCTCCAAGCTATTGTGCCAGGACTGAGCTGCACCTTTTAACGTAGTGGCTAGACCTTTGCACATTAGAGCTTTGTTTGCCCTCTGCATCATCATGTTAGTTTTATAAAGTTTTAAATGATTAAAGGGGTCAAAAGTACCATCGTATGTCTCTAAGGTTAGCATTTTAAATCCTTTAGAAGGCATGGCTCTGTCAACTTCTTAATAAAGGGCGAGGTCTTCAAGAACTTGAGTTTATCCTCAAATGCCACTGCCTTTGTTTTTAGCTTTTTTTTATAACTTGCATCCTAACTTCCAAATCTTTGTTAAGATAAAATTCATGGTCTATTTGTTTGGATTTTTGGGTTGTGGCATGTGTGGAATTGTGACTAAGGTGATGATGAGTTGGGTTTGTGTGTTTTTCTTCTTTGGAGGCTGAAAAGGCCTTCGCCTCTTCATAGCTCGATTATCAGATAACAACTTCTCGACTAGGTGTGATTAAGTTCGGCACTTTGAAACTTATGGTGGGGTTATAATTTGCAGCATCTACTATAGAGCTTGTATTTGTTTTGTCAAAGCTTGAAATTGTTCCATGGTTAGTCTTGCCTATGGTTGAGTTGGATGGACAAAACGCTGGCTAAGGTGAGTTTCTGTTCTAGTCGAAGCTGCTACCTCTCCTTCTTTTAGGGTTTTTTTTCTTAGTGACATTGTTTTGTGCTCGGCTAATATGGGATCCCCTACCTAGAGCGTCAAATATTAGTGCCGAGCTTCGACTTAAGGGTATTTCTATGAATGTAAAAGAGAAAGATGGTTAAAGACAAAGGCATAGGTGTTTCTTGTGTTTGCATTTCAACGTGCAAGTCAATAAAGATCAAGTTGGCAAGAAAATAGGAAGAAATAAAGAAGTGAATGGGATGAACCTGCTTTCATGATGCTTGAGTCTTCATATTTATAGGTAAGCTGAGGGGGACCATAAGAGGACAATTAAGATAGGGCCGAGTTGAAATGGCACTGATCATGTCATGTCAGGTCAATACAAATGACAAAGATATCCTTAATTGTCTGCTAAAGACTTTGAAAAAAGAAAAAACCACTATACTCTTCTGACTATCAAATGCCCCTATCAGAGTCCTTCCGCCCCACAAGCGCTGAAACACTCACAATCCAGCTCCAAGGAACAACGAACCTTCAACAGTAAGGTCTTCTTGTACTTAGAACCCTCAAGATGAAACTTAAGCATGTTGCAGATTCCAGCAGTTGGGATCTTGATTCCACTCTGGAGGACAAGGCCAGGGACAACTTGAGAGAAAATCAATTTTTCTTCAGTCCAAATGTCAATAAAGAATTCCAAATCATCAAGGGAAAATCTTGGAGGGAGAAGAGTTCGCTGATGCTTCCGTTTATAAATGGTTTGATACAGTTTGTAATACGCTTGCAAATGAAAGGCCATCTCTTTGCGCATAAACATTTCCAAAAGTAATCATCTTTAGCTATGTGTCTCCATTGCTTACAGACCACCATACAAGTTGCAAGGTCTATGCCATCCAATAAAGGAAAAACAACCTTCAAAACTTCTACATATGACATTTTCCGATTGCAAAAATGACTATCAAAAGCCGAATGACAAATTAATTCGGCAAATTGCAATCATTTATAGCACCAATTCAATAGGTGTAAAGGAACAAATAGCTGATGGATTCATGTGAAAGAGACAAAATTAAGTTTTATATTCCAAGACGTCTATGGGTCAGCATTAATTTCAAAACAAAAATGTTGCATATACATGAAGTGGCAAGATGTCCATATTATGTTGTAATAGAAAAGATAAATATAAGGTTGAGACTTTTAAAATTTAACTTCCAAGTTTTGCTTATATCTTTTAACTTTTCTGTTTTGTTTCTTTGTTTTCTTTGTCTTTCTATTGAAACTAACAAGACAAGCAAGAAATAATAGGTTCGTTTTTAACTTTTTTTTCATTTTTATTTTTATATTTTAAATTATTAAAAATTAATATTAGGCAACTTAGTATTCATGTAAAAAAAAAAAAAAGACATGATATACGACCAAAAACATGTGTAATGTGAAAGTGTTATATATATTTAATGTTTCAGCACTATTTAAATATTTTTTTGGTATTTATCAAAATTTAAATACTGACCACATTAAAATTAAGAGTTTAACTTACTATCAACCCGTTACGTGATTATGGACACACTTAAATATATTTGCTGATCTTCTTTAAATTTCCACTTATATATGCATTGATGTTAATCAAACTTTATAAGTTCAACTATCTAAAAAGTAGATAAAGCTTTTATGTATCAGTTTCAGATTATTTTTGTCTCTGTAGCGATTTTTAATGTTCACTTATCCATAGTCTAATTATATATATGCATTCATGCTTGAATACCAATTGGTAACTAATTCAGAATTAATCATAATTAATTTCGTTGAAGGGATAAAGTTCAAGATTGGAATCATCCCTCCCGTTGGACATTACCAGATGTACCAACATAAAGAACCGATTATATGGATTGGATTAATAAAGTTGCTACGATTCTGGCAGTAAAAATGTCGTCATAGCTTATTATATAATTACTCGTTATTTTGTAATATAGTACATATGGATCGGATTAATAAAGTTGCTACGATTCTGGAAGTAAAAATGACGTCATAGCTTAGTATATAATTACTCATGATGTTGTAATATGGTCCACTACTTACTCGATCAACTCACCATTTCTCCAACTTTATAAACGCTACACGCTAAATATGTCGACATATAGACACAGACAACATCTAAACTATAAAACCAACCTTTTCTTTTCTGTCTATTTTGTTGTACCGAGGAAAAATAACAAGAAGAAGAAACAAGGCTTTGAGATACAAACATTCTGTTGAAATATTTATTATCAAGATTGAGTTTGTATTTTAAAGCCTTGGTTTTGTTGCTGCTGTTATTTTGTGGTTGGCTTTGCAGCTTCGTTCAAGTAAATTTTATATTAGAAGCTGTTGCTGTCATGCAAGTAACTTAAACAAACTTAAGATTATTATTTCATATACGCATGGTGGAGTTTTTAAATTCTATAAATGGAATTCAAGATTATCATTTTTTTATTATATTAATTTCTTAAAATATATTTTAAGGAGATATGTGGTAAGTCTTGTCACAGGATGAAAGTTTAAAAATTTTAATGACATATGCTATTAGATAAATTTTTTAAAACCTAACTTGCTTTATTAATTTGATTTTATATAATGTTTATTATGTTTTCCCCTATCAAGAATATATATGTTCTTCCTCCATCAAATGATTGTTTTAAAATTGGTTATAGCATTGAACCCATCTATACGTTGAAGCTCAAGTGTAGCAGTTTGTGATTAGTAAGAAATTCATGACACATGGAGGTTCAAAATATTGGAGCACACGTATATATAAAAATATATATAAATTTATAAATTATCAAATTTAAACTATACAATAGAAGATGAGTCAATTAAGTTACGAGTTAAAACTATCAGCCCATAACCTAGTTATAGTTTCCCAATTGATGGTCTTTTAAGCTACAATTGGGCTATGAAATTAGCCTATTAGTTAAATAAGCCATGCCTAAGCCCATTTGTTTCAAAACAAGTGATTGAAGACAAGAAGAATGTTGCTTCAACTACCAAACTGTGTCAAGAATATTGCTTTTGCTTTGGTGTGCTTGGAGACTTGGCAGGAAGTTTATGGCCAGAGGATGCAACTTGTTTGCAATAGTTTGATCAACAGCCACCAGGTTCAGTCATATATGTTGCAATTTGGAGCCTGACTATTTTTGCCAAATCCAATTTCAGGAGTTAGCTTTGGGGCTGGAACTCTCCAATAGACCATTTCTTTGGGTTGTGAGACCAGATATTGCTGAGGGAAAGGATGATGTTTACCCAGAAGGATTCTTAAGCCGCTTGAGGGTTCTGTCTTACCCTTCGGTTGCTTGTTTCTTAAGCCATTGTTGATGGAACTCTACTACTGAAGGTGGAAGCAATGGGTCCTTTACTTGTATTGGCCTTACTTTGCTGACCAGTTTACATCTGTGATTTTGGGAAGGTTGGGTTGAAATTTAAAAGAGATGAAAGAGGGATCATCAAACCAGAAGAGATTGAGACGAAGGTTGAACAATAATTTGGTGCTAAGAATTTCGAAGGGCTCTCGAACTTTAGTTCTTTTCAGCGAAGGCGGTAGCTCTAACAAGATATTCAAGAATTTTACTGAATGGATGAAATCATAGATAAGTTCTTTTAATTATGTTATAATAATTTGGAAAATTTTTTTTCTTTTTCAAAAGAATTATGAAAACCTTTTTATATCGGATTTATAAGTTCTTATTGAAAATTGATAGTACTTTTCAATCAAAACTATTTTCTTCCAAAAACTTATGTCGGGAAGATACAGAGAAAAAGTCTAATCTCTCTTCCATAATTTTCCGTTTAACTCATCCTTTATATCCTTTTTTTTTTGGATAATTAAAAACTTTTATTACCCAAAGAAGAATTAATCCTGCTACAAAGTACACAGTCTGGAACTACCAGATCAAATAGCTAATATAATGTGAAATCAATCAAATATTTTTCCCCCATAAGGATCTATTGACTGGATCATCAGCTATGGTCTGAACTTCATGGCCTCTACAATTTTGTTCAAAAGCTGCTCTGAGGTATGCCCTCACTTTCACTAACATAGATGTATGCCCACCAAGCTAGCCTCAAAATTACTGAAATTAAAGCTTTCATTTTCACTGTTGCTTCATTTTTCTTACATGAACTTCCTTTTTACTAGAATAGTTGAATAAAAGTTACTACTAATATTATAACGGAATGAAAAGTTTATTTGGACAGCAGTGCAGTAAAACTGGTTATTAGCTTTACATTACCAAAAGTTGTTTCATGGAAGGAAGTTAATTGGGGGCATCTCTTTTTCTATTTCACCTTCTCCAGAGAGCTATGGAGCAGAATCCTGGATAAGCTTCTTATTTCCAGAAGACCTGGGAATTCGCAGACTGAATTTTCTTGGATCGTTGAGCATTCCAAAGGCAACTCCCTTCCTGCCATCTTATTAAAAGTTGCTTTGGCAGCATTAAGTTGTTCCAAAAAACTAGGCATATCGCCTTAAGTTGTTCCATGGAAGGAAGACAACTGTTGAATCGAGCACGGTGAAGAGAGTTTGTTGGAGATGGCAATGAACTGCAGTATGAAAGGAGAAAAGGATGGCTTAAAAGCATATCAGCAGTCCACCTTTCACTAGGATCCCTTTCAAAACACTTCATCAAGAAATCTTTCCCTTTGCTTGAAATGGTTTCAGGTATTGGTGGATGTCTTGAAAATCCAATCTTAATAGCCAAATCCCTCAGGTTTTGATATTCCCATGGTAGTTTTCCTGTGATCATCTCAATAACAATGCACCCTAGCGACCATATATCTAATGCAGCACTGATTTTCCCATCAGTAACAGATTCGGGTGGCATGTAAGCTGCTGTTCCAGGAAAAGCTTGCATCAAAGGCTCTACCTTAGACATATCTCTTTCTCCAGGTCGCCTAACCAGGCCAAAATCAGCAATCTTTAGGCTGCTAATGGAACCATATTGATCAGAAGGAAAAACAAGGATATTTGCCGGCTTGAGATCACAATGAACATAGCCTCTCTGATGAATATCCCGAATCCCTTCAAGTAGCATTCTCACGTAGCACTTGACATCACATTCAGGTATCTTGCCCCCATATTTCTTGCTCATCAAGTCCAAAAGATTACCACCGGGAGCATATTCAAGAAACAAGTTATAAACAACCATCCCTTGATCATCAATGCTTAACATAGCACCATAGCATTGAACAATATTACCACAACCAACAAATTGTTTAAAGATTTGTAGTTCCTTTTGAAGTGAACTAGAATCTTTGTAACGACATGATTTCACAGCGAAAAGTCGATCATCGGAAACCGAGTTTGTTGGTTTTACCAAGTGAACAACTCCATGGGAACCCTTGCCAAGAGTCTTGAGTTTGATCCAATCCATAGTTAAACCTTTCCTTGCTAATGCTACTCCTTTTACTACATCAAAATCCATGGTTGTTGATGAAAATAAATGATTGAAAGAAACACGATATGCAGTAATTCAACGAAACCAATTGAAGAAACGAAGGAGCCGTTAAACAAACCGTGATTTGCAACTTTTAGGTTATTTTCCTATACATGGTCAGTATTCAGGATATATATATACCTTTGGGAAGGAGTGGTTTTTTCACTTCTCCTAATTCTATTGGGTTTTGGTAATTGACAAATTGTGTTATTGTTAATTTTTCATTGGCCTATTCTCTATGTGCGGTTTAATTACTCTCAGGCCTTAGCTGTTGAGCTTAGTATTTTTTTTTTTTTACTTTTTATTTTCCCCTCATGACTCAATTCAAAGTTTTCTTATGTTTCCTAATTATGATATTTGGAATTTGTATATAAATATGTATATGGTATGTACATTATATACATATAAATATACGTATATTAGTCTTTATTACACAGGGTAAACCCAAAAAATTTATTTTAAACTTGATATAAAAAATAATTTATTTTTAAAAAAGATTAATTGATAAAATATATATATATATATATATATAATAAAAAGAGTACTAATATTGCATCAGAGCATTTGACTTGGTTGATGCATGATACCTTAAAAAAAGAATGGCTTGAATCCCCCATTCCTCAAATAAAAAAAAGAATATTAATATTAAATAAAATAATAATGTAATTACATTATTAAAATATAAAATTTCATGATTAAATAAAATTTTTGAATATTAAAGTTCTATTAAAATAAATCTAACTACTAATTAAAAAAAATTAATCTTTTAAAAGGTTAAGTTTTAAAAATGAAAATGCAGGTAAAAAATTAAAAAAGTTATAATTTTCAATTGATTTGTCAATTTTTTCTGGACCATAGTTAGTTGACAACTTTTTAAATTATATATATTTTTTATCTATATAAAAGAAATAATTTGACATAATAATTAATGTAAATATGCTCGTTTAATTAATTGAAAATAAAAATTCATTGTAAGGAACTAAAAAAATTAATGATATATCGATTATAATAAAAATGGATAAATTTAATTATTTATTAAAAAAAGAAAGAAAATAAAATTACTTATTGAATCTAAAAGTAAAAATACTAAAACTCATAAAATTTACTATCTATTTCTATACATTATATAAAAACAATCTCCACAAGTAATCAATGTCTTAAAAATGAATTGAAGCGATAATTTTGGGAAGAGGAGATTCTGGAAAGGGAAAGAATTTGTGAAAAAAAAAAAAGAAGAATCGAGGAAAAAAAATGGAGTAGTGCAGAAAGGAAAGAAACAGAGAAGAAAGTTTCGACCGTGACGAGAGAAAATGAAAAAACCCTAAGGGCCATAGGGGTTCTCCATCCCCATCCAGACGAAGGAAGTATAGTCTACCACCAGATCAAAGAAGCCCACAAGAAAGAGATAGCCTTTCCCTAGAACACCATTGGTTCTGATTATAGTGCAAGTCCCAGAAGAAGGAGCAGATGCCTCCATCGTGAAGCTGTTGCTGAGGATAAGCCTTATAGGAGCTCTGCAAAGGAAAACTACCAAAGCACAGCCCTAGCCCACTTCCTAGGGTCATGCTTCTTTTGGTACTTTTTTATTTGCAATTTTCTTTTTAAATTTTCATTATGATTTTGTCCCAAAATTTTGCTTCTATTTAGTGGATCAGACTTGGGTTTTTGTTTTTAATTTGGTTTGTTTTTAAATTTGTTTTACTTTTTTTTTTATTTATAAATTAGTCAACAGCATCATTTGCATGCCTTCAAATTTATGTGTTATTTTTATTTAATAATTATTTATTTTTGTTTTTCTTTTGCATGTTACCTTCTCTTTAATGTTTGTTTGGTTACTAAGAAAATATTAAAGAAAGGATATTGAAACTTTAATGTTTTTAATTATTGCGGTGAACAAGGCTGGAGAATTGATAAGCCAAGCCCAATAAGATACCAGTAGTTAGAACCCATATGACAGATTTCAAGAAATCTTTCCTGGTTGAATTTCCCGTGGAGGTAAAGCTTGGAACTATGTTATGCAATACATGAGACAGAAATAACCACAGTAAACAAAAACTATGAAAGCAGCCAAGAAAAAGTGACCATGAGTTTAGGCCTAGTAGATTGTGGAGATGCTGTTGAATGTGAGGTAAAAATAAGCTATGGTTGAAAAATATAAGGATTTCAGGATTGGTTAAGTGTCCATTTTGTTGCAGAATATTTGGGTCAGGACAAGTACTTGATAGTCACAAGGGATCTCATTTGCTTGCTGCTTCTTCTTCATCAAATATTGCCACTGCTGCAAATTCTACTAATTTTGACAACAATTTGATAGATATAAACTTGCCTGCTCCATTGAAAGATGATGAGTATAGTGTGGTATTAGATGCATAAATTCAACGATGAGAGCTATTGAGTAGTTATGGGAATTCACGTGGATCTGATGCTACAACATTCAATGTTTTATACATTGTTTTAAATTTTGATTTTTTGTACAGTAGTTGCTAATATTTCTTTATTCATAGATGAAATCATGAATATTTTTTTTAGCCTTTTTCTTTTATGATAATTCTATCTATTCTTTATTGTTGGGAACCCACAAATTCATTTATTGAATTTTTCGCAAGTGTTTGAAGAAATTGAAACTGGGGATGATGCGGTTATCTAAATCATATTCCAAGACACGTGGGCTTGAAGCCAAGATTATTACAAGGTCAGAGTTAGAAATCCTTTTGGAGTAAAAGAATTTAAACTTTGGCAAAACGATTTTCTCAGGATTGAACCAAAGCAATTTCGATCTTCTTTTTTTATTTGGGTTTGTGAAAAGTTATGGTTCTGGAAGAAGCTAATAACAAAGTTAAGCTTTTGGGAGACTTCAAAGTAGATTTTTTTTTTGGAAACTGCTAAAGCAGATTCAGAAGGGAACCCACATAAATTTATGAGTTAAGAAACTGTAAAAGAATGTTCATTGCTTACAATCCTTGAAACATGTCTAATAGCTAATGTAATGTTTTCTCTACAAGGGTCACTTGATGAAATGGACTTTCTTGCTTAGCTAGCAATTTGGACTTATAACTTCAAGATTTTTTGCAAGATAACTTTGCTATTCAAAGCTTTGAGGGTGGTATTGCTGCCTAAAAGGGTGGAGCCTTTGCATGTGAATTGTTTCGATTAGACATATTCTTAATATTAAGTTTATGCATTGTTATATATATTTCTATATAAAACTAAATTTGGTATCATTCAAGTTAAAGTTTCTAGGTAAAGGAAAGCAATTGAAGCTTCTGGGTAAGGGGAAGCTATCCACCATAGTTATATAATAATGAAAATTTAAGAAACGTAAACGAATTTTATAACTGTTTATTACTTTTCACGCTTTGTTATTTTATGTTCTCTTTTTATTTTTTTATATCTTTTAAATTACTTAAATGAATCATTGATTTTAGATCAGCTAAGTAATGAGTATTTTCAAGCATTGCTTTCATTTCAATTTGATACTGCAAAATTGAGGAAGGTAAGACCAAATTTCAAGGAGAATGGCATTGTTACTGTTGACAATGTCTCAGTTAACATTTTTATTCACTTATATAATAGCTCATGTTTCAATTCTGCCAACTCATCTTCATACCGGAATTCCTCCCAACTTTATATTATTTTTAAACTATTTAAGCTTTATAATAGCTTTTTTTAAAAGAGGAATGCTCAACTTACACTATAAAACAAACATAATGCTGACGTGTAGCACGGCTACACATTAGTGTCTATAATATTACTCTTGCATACTGGGGGCCATTGATCTAGCCACGCACGTGTTCTTTTTTTGTTTTTTGTCTTTTTGTGCGACACATGTTTTTTTTTATTTTTTTAATGCTCACTTTGTTAAATATTTTATAAAGTTCTTTTTTAGTCAGATCCATTGATTTGCATTTTTATTATTTATTATTATTATTTATATTTTTTAAACATGAGACCCATATTTTATTATTTTTTGTTCAGATTTGCCTTTTTCTTTACTTTTTTTTTGTTGGGCGAACATGTCTTTTTTTTTAACTTTTATTTTTTGAATGTTTAATAAATATTTTTTTTGGGTTCAAACATACTTGAAGCCATTATTTAAAAAAAAAAAACTTAATTAATCTTTTTTATATTATTTTTTTATTGGACTCACCTGAAGGAATGTCACTTGTTTTTTTTTTTCAATTTTTAACTTCTGCCATTTTTCATTTTTCCTTTTTTTATATATTTAATAAATAACTTTTTAGATTTTATTTTTTACTAAGTCACTTGATAATAAATATATCTCACGGGTCATTTGATTTTTTTTGCTTTTGATTTTTAAATTTTTTGCTTACAATTTTTTTCTTTTTTATCTAATAAATATTTTAAAATATTTTGAATCTTTTAATGTTGGGCCATTTGATATTATTATTCAACATATATAATTTTTCTTACTTTTTTTTAATTTTTATAATTTTTAAAAGTGGCTATTAATGAAGGCATCGACATAACATCAGGATTTTATTTTTTGTTTCTTAGACTTTTTTAGTTTTTTTTTTAAACAAAACACATGATATAAATTATTCAAAAAGAAACTTATCATATTATGTGTCAACTCAATTTTATTTTTTATTTTTTTGCTTTTCACCGTTTCATTTTTCAGAAAGCCAAAATACAAACCCAAAAGAGAACCAAAATCCAAAATCAATCCTAATTCAAGAACAATCTTAGAAATTTAAACAAACCAAAAAAAAAAAAAAAGAATTCAAAATCAATCAAAACCCATAAAAAAATTTGATTCCAAAAAAATCTCAGAAAATCCAAACTTAAGATGATTCCTTGAAACCACCAGCAAATTAACCCAAAACCCATAACCAAGAATCAAAAAGCCAAAATATTTTAATGCTCAAATTGAATGCCAATTTGCTTATTGCTTGTTTAATTATTGCTTGTTGCTTCTGTTTACCTATTGCTTATTGTCTACGTGCTTTTGATTGCTTGAGCTCTTCTTACGTTCTTATCCATGTCTTGGATTGCAAATTGGAAGTCTTTTAATAGGGATAGATCCCACTTCAATTTGAACAAATTTTAATTCTACCAAATCTAAGAAAAATCTCCATGATTTGATTTTTTTGTAATCTTTCCTTTTTCCATAAATTGGGGCTCAAGATTTTCCTTTGGCAATTGATCTTTATATTACAGAATCTAAAATTAGATAAAATATCAAATCTACAGAGTTTCCCCATTTTTTTTTCTTTGTTTTTTTTTTATTTTTTTAACTTCTTTTTTAACTTTGATCTTAAACCAAAAATATTAAAATTAAAATTTAAAGATCAAAATCCAAATTAAAAAATAAAATCAAAGTTAAAA